AACCAAGTCTACATCCATTACCTAAGCTCCTCACATAGGATTTTCAAAGAAATCCACTAATTTGTTCTTTCTTTTTCAAGGACAAAGAAATAACCTTTACAAACTCCCTAGCTTTTCAAAGGCTTAGCTATAACCAAAACCCCTTTACAAAAGGAAAAAATATGTAAACAAGAGAACAGATCAAGCTCACAAAAAACCACAACTATTTACAAGAGAAAAAAAATAAAGAGTGAAAAACATTTCTCTTGTGTTTGAATGCTTGGATAGGTGTTCTAACCCTTCTTTAAGTGTCTTGAACTTGTATTTATATGTTGGAATGAGTTTGTGGCTGTTTCTAGCCGTTGGGGATGATTTGGAGTCGTTAAGGATGAAATTTCATGCAAAAAAAAGCTGCCCAGTACAGGGAGTATTGGTACTCCTTTAATATATTTAAATAAATCTAGTTGTTACTAGTCGTTGGGCCTGACGGTATCAATACTGTGACCATGGTATCGATACTACTATGTAAAGTAATATCGATACTCCTTTGAGTATCGATACCTATTTTGCATTCTGGAATTTGAGCAAGCTGGTAGTATCGATATTACCTGGAGAGTATCAATACTTCTCTTACCTTTGGTATCAGTACCATATGAATAGTATCGGTACTGTTCATATAGTATCGATACTGTAAGAACAGTATCGGTACTTCGTACCCAGAAAAACATTTTGTGCTCAAATTCACTTTTAATGGACTTTGAATTATTTTTGAAAACTTTTGAAAACTTTGAATAAATTGAATTCAAATCAAAAAAACATTTTGCCTTAATTTGTTATATCAAAACATTATAAAGCATGGTTCAACAAATATTAATATTAAATATTTATAAATATTATAATAATAAACTAACATTAAATATCATTAAAATAACATAAAAGGTCTAGAATGAAATTTAATGAAAACATAAGTTTGCTCTCTAGAAATAAAAATAAATTGAAGTCCACCATGACGATCCATAAATCTTTCCACACCTACATTTGAATACAAAAAAGTTAAATTATATTAATTTTTAATAAATAAATTTAAAATGTCATATAGAAGATATTTTATTATTAAAATTTAAATTATAATATTACCTTGAATATTCAAGCACAAGTGCTTCCTCCAAATCTTTGAAGCAGTTGTTGAATCTAACTTTGGAGAACATCTTGATTTTTCTTCAACTCATTGATTGTTGCATTTTGGTCCTGTATTTTGGCATTTTGGCTTTGTAGTTGAACTACTAATTCTTGGGTTTGTTTTTTATTCTCAACCCATTCAACATCTAAAGCAGATTCCAATTCTAATTCTTTGGAATTACATGGCTTTACTCCATAACCAAGTTCACGAATATAACCATATTTTGAATTTAAAACTTTCTCTAAAATTTGACACTCATTCACTTCAATGTTTTTTTTTTTCAATTTCTTCACTTAAGATTATTTTCATTTTTTCATGTAAATATAACTGAAATAAATAAATAAAAAGTTAAAATATTTAATAAACAAAGATTATATTTTAGATAAATAAAATCTTACATAGTTCTCTTCTACTTGCTGGTTAACCCATGTCCCATCTTTTTTATGATGCGTATCATAACATAGTTTTATTTCAGCGAGTGCAATATTTGGCTCTTCTGAATGATTTTTAATATATTCTTGAACATTCTCCTAAATCTAAAAAATTGAAAGAAATTAATTCAAATGTAAATTGAAGAAAAAAGTAATTTATTAGCTGATTTTATTCTAAATATACAAAAAATAAATTCAAAACATACCAATTCATAAATTCGTTGGCAAATGATTTTGAACCTGAAGTATGCGAAATCTTCATTTTTTTTCTCTATTGTTCTTGTTTGCTTTGCTTTGAACCTGCATATGTAATAATTTTTTTGTTAATTTTATTTCATAAATGATACATTATTTTTCAACATAAAAAGAATATTTTACCTGGAATTTGTCTACTTTGAAAATGCTTATACATGTTCTTCCAATCATCTATCTTCACATCGTTTCGAGGATTAGCTTCTGCTTCTTCTAAAGAAGTATGCTTCTTGAAATGCATATGACATTTGTGTTTAAAGGTCATAAAACACCTTGACATCATTTATCTATTACTTTTTTTTTGCATGCCGATACATCAAATTCATCATGCAAACCATTTAATATAAATTTAGTATTTTAAAAATAAACACATACTTATATTAATAAAATTTTAGAAAGAAATAATTATTAATATATCTAACCTTAATTTTTTGAAACATAGGTAATTTGTCTTCATCCTTCACATCCTTCCAATAAAATACATTAGCTGGTATAAAGTTTCGAGTCGTAATTCCTACCTCATTTTAAGTAGATGTTCATCATCACTAACCGATAATTGCAATCCTTTTTCAATCTTTACACCCTTAATTCGACCATTTTTGTTTCAATCTCTTTTTTACTTCAAAACCTCTAGCCACTCCACGGCCTCTTTTTACCATAACTATAAATATGTACGCAAAAACATGCATCGTGTTCATGTAATATGTGTCAGTTCTATTGTGTATCATATTGTTAAATCTAATGTTGGGTATATATATGAAATTTGGGGTGTTATATATAATTTTAGCATGTATAATATAATTAATCAATAATTTAACGTGAGTTTGTCATATTTTTATTTGTATTTATTTTTATTTGATGTTTTATTTTGTCGTGTAAAATACATTGTTTGGCAACTTTTCTAAAAATTTTAATTTTCCATAATATTTTATCAATTTTATAAAATTAATTTGATTTGATTTATCTATTTTTCTCTAAATTATATTCTTTATCTATAATTAAATTTATTTTTTTATAAAATTTTGAATAATTTATTTGGATAAATTTTATTTTTATTTTTTGGATTTTATTTTAACAAAAATAGTTTTAGTTTTTTTGATATTACATGATAAAAATGTAAATTATTTTATAAATATTTTAAAAATAATTAACTTCAATTAAATAAAAATAGTTAATGATTTATATATATATATATATTTTAAATAATTTAAATTTTTTTAAATATAAATAATTTTTATATTATCAAAATAAAATAATTATAAAATAAGAAAAATAAAATTTGATCCAATTTGAGTTATCATGAATTTTAAAAGACTAATATCACAAATAAGTATTTAAAATATATTAATTTTTATTTAAGTACATAAATTATTTTTTATTTAAGATAATCATTTTTTATTTATGAACTGTAAATCATCTAAAAAGTATTTATTATTTTTAAATAAAATAAAATAATTATATGATATATCAATGATCAATTATTACTTTTAAATATTTATAAAAACAGTTGAAAATTTATCAAAAAGTTAGCAAACGACTTATTTTAAATATTTTATCAATTATTACTGAAATTGATAAAATATTATCAAAAACTGAATTTTTTTTAAGGTTACCAAACGACTTATTTTACACAAAAAAAAAACTTTAAATAATCTTTCACTAAAACATCAGTATATGTTTAGTTCTTTATTTTCTTTTTTGTTATAATCTTTATTACTTTCAATTTCCCCCCAAATATTGAAATCCCTAATCTCTTTGTGCTCTCATTTGTTGTATCAGCTCTCCCATGATCGTAGGCACAACCAGTCACAGTCTTACCGACACACAACCACAACCTAGATCCCACAACACGGGTACTTTCCTTTTCCCTCCTATTTTACCAAAACTAGTTTTGTTCACTGTTCAATTCTCAAACGAATTTGTGAAATAAGTATATAGTTATTGAGTTTGAATTAATTGAAAATAAATTAATAAAATATATTTATGCATAATCAATTTTTATTAGCATGTACTAAAACTCTCTAATAGTCTCTAAATGAATTCAATGACTAACTCTCTCATAGTCTCTGAATGAATTCAATGACTTCTACGGATGTTCTGCTTTGAATGGTCATCTAAGGCTAAAATAAATAAATAAATGAATTTAAGGATGATGTGGTTTAAATCTCAATTATGAATTATGTTGTACTTATTGCTAGGCATTTTGTAACCATTGAATTTGATAACCTGAAACCAAAACAACTGTGCAAGTCATAGTCTTTATCATCGAAGAGTTTAGGCAACATAATCAAAACATGACTTGATTCTTCTTCAATTTCATTTTCAAAATGGTACAAAACTCCAAGGCGACATAAATAATTAATTAGATGTATTTTCTTTATCGAATCTGTTGTAAGAACATTGAACATATCTTTCACCATTGTTTTCAATGTTGTAAGAATATTGATGGTTATATTAAAAATATTAATTTGAATAGATAATTGGATTGATTTTAATGAGAATACAAGTAACAGATGAGGTGAGAGGTCAACATAATTGTAATAATATATAAATTATTTTGTGATAATTTTTATGAATTAATAATTATGAATTATTGTTACAAAATTTATTACTTATAATTTTTGTGTAAAAAATAGAAAAAGTATTTGTGACAATATATTTTTCACTATAATTAAAATATATAATTAAAAACATAATTTTCACAAATAAACTTGAATCTCTTTTTAATTAAAAAAACATGTATATTTTATTGTAATAATGTTTTCTATAACAATAATTATAACATATAATTACAAAACTTGTCACTATATAGCTTTTTTGCCAAAATAATAGAGGGAAATATTTTTTATAGTATTATTTTCCTAATGATTAAAATATATAACTACAAAAATAATTTATCACAAAAAACTTGAATTTCATTATTTGATGTGATTTTTTTTATAACAATAACTATAACTTATAATTGCAAAACTTGTCATTATACAATTTTTTGAAACAAAAAAATGGAGGAAATAGTTATAACAATATATTTTATCATTATAATTAAAATTTATAACAAAAAGTATAATTTGTCAAGAAAACTTGAATATAATCATTTGTTGTGACAATGTTTTTTAAAATAATTATTGATACTTATAATTACAAAACTTATCACTGTCATGATAAACCCAAGGTGGATCGATGTTTTCCCAGATTCTGCAGTGGAGTTTCAGGCCCCTGGGGACTCGGATCACTGCCCTGCCTTTGTGTGGCTCCACAAGGCAGCCCCTACTGCAAGGCCAAAGTCGTTCAAATTTTTCAACTTTTGGGCCTTGCACCCGGGGATTTTAAACATTGTGAGAGATTCTTGGCAGAAACCAATGATTGGAAATCCAGCTCAGGTTTTTTTCCAAAAATTGAAGAGGTTGAAGTGCTCTCTCAAGGCTTTAAATAAAGCTCATTTCAATGACATTTCAAATAAGGTGAAACAGAAGCGAGAGGAACTCCTTAGTATTCAGCTTGCTAATCTTCAATGGGGTTTTGCTGGCAGCAGCATTGAGAATGAACTTCAAGTAGAAAGGGAGCTAAAAAATCTTGAAGAGGCTGAGTTACTATTTTACAAACAAAAGGCTAAAGCCAATTGGATCAAGGAGGGTGACCAAGGGACGAAATTCTTCCACTCAGTAGTGGCTAGCAGAAGAAAGAGTAATACAATCAGAGTTCTCTATGACCAAGCGGGGAATAGATTGGACACTTTTGATGGTATTTCGGCTGAGGTGATTAAATTTTTCCAGAATCAGCTGGGTTTGGTAGATGATAATGTCCTGGGCAGAACTGTTTCTACTATTAGGGGTCTTCTTAATTTCTCACTCCCTACAGGCGCTGACGGCGAACTGTGCAGGAATGTTTCTGATGCTGAAATTAAAGAAGCCATTTGGGGGCAAGGCAATGATAAATCTCCTGGTCCCGATGGCTTTAATCCCTTCTTCTTCAAGAAAGCTTGGTCCATAGTGGGTGTGGATTTTGTTGCTGCTATCAGGTATTGCTTTGACATATCTTTTATTCTCCCTGCCTTTAATGCCACTGCTGTAGTCTTGGTTCCTAAAGTGCCAAATCCTAGCCTTGTCAAGGACTTCAGGCCTATATCATGCTGCACAGTGATATATAAGACCATTCCAAGGATTTTAGTGAGATGATTGTCTACTGTGTTCCCTAGCATGGTTTTAAAGAATCAAACTGCTTTTGTTAAAGGTAGGAGTATAGTGGATAATACCCTCCTTGCCCAAGAGGTTGTTAGGGGCTATAGTAGAAAGAACATTTCCCCTAGATGTGCCTTGAAGTTGGATCTACAGAAAGCGTTTGATTCTCTCAATTGGGATTTCTTAGTTGTTGTTCTCACTGCTCTTGGCCTTCCTGCTAGATTTATTAGCTGGATTTCTGCTTGTTTTACCAAGCCTAGCTATTCGATTGTAATAAATGGCAGTTTAGTTGGTTATTTTAGGGGGGCTCGTGGTGTTAGGCAAGGTGACCCCCTTTCACCTTATCTCTTTGTGCTTGCCATGAATGTATTATCAAATCTATTGAACCTGGTTGCTCTTAAGGGGATTTTCAATTATCATCCCAAGTGTAAAAGGATTGGTTTAACCCATCTTTGCTTTGCGGATGATCTCCTCATCTTTTGCAAGCCCTTTGTTGACTCTATTAGTGGTGTCAAAGCTGTTCTGGAAGTTTTCTATATCATGTATGGGTTGAAGCTCAATATTAACAAAAGTGAGATTTTTGTAGCGGGGTTAACTGCTGCTCAATGCACTGCCATCAGTGAGGGCACTGGTTTTAAATTAGGCAAACTCCCTGTTCGCTACTTAGGAATTTCTTTGGTGACTAAGAAGCTCACGGAGAGAGACTGCCTTAGTCTCATTGATAAAATCAGAGCTAGGTTGACCTTGTGGGAAAATAAACATTTGAGTTTTGCTGGCAGGCTCCAGTTAGTGCGTTATGTTTTGTTTAGCCTAACTAATTATTGGTGTAGGCAAGTTATGCTTCCTCGGGGGGTAATCAAGAAAGTTGAGCAGTTATGCTCTCGGTATTTCTGGAAGGGTGCTGATCTTCCTGCTAAGGGAGCTAGGGTGAGCTGGAGACAGATCTGTCTTCCAAAGTCTGAAGGGGGCCTTGGTGTTATTGATATACAAGGATGGAATAGGGCTTGTTCTGTGAGGTTGATTCAAAACTTATTGGCTGATGAGGGTTCCTTGTGGGTGGCTTGGACTCGGTCTTATATTATTAAAAATACAGATTTTTGGCATATGGTTCCTCCTACTGATGCTAGCTGGAATTTCAAAAAGCTATTGAAGATGAGACATTCGGTTAATCATCTCTTTGTTAACCGTGATTGTGCCCTCAGTACTAGGTAGATATGGGAGGACTTGCGCATCGTGGCTCCAAAGGTTGCTTGGCATCATCTGGTTTGGTTTTCCGGGTGCATCCCTAAGCACAACATATTTCTGTGGATGGCCATTTTGGATAGGCTTCCCACCCGGGTTAGACTGATGCGAATGGGACTAGTAATAGAGAATGATCGATGTATCTTCTGTGATTTGGTGCCTGAGACTAGAAATCACATTTTCTTTGAATGTGATTATGCTAAAAGCCTGTGGAAGGCCATCCTTCTGCTCTGTGGAGTTAACCGAAGAATAAGCCACTGGGAAGGCGAGCTTTCATGGGCTGCTCACTGCCTTAAAGGAAAGTCCCTTCTCACAAGAGTGTTTAAGCTTGCTTTGACAAGCTATGTGTATGTCATATGGAGAGAAAGGAACAAAAGACTGTATGGTGGATTGCTTAGGCCGATGAGTGATATCTTGCTGAGCATTAAAACTGATATCCAGATTCGACTCGATGGTTGGCCAATTAACAGAAGTGACTCTAGGAACATTGCCCTTTGTGTTAGCTGGGGTATTTCATAATTGTGATGTTGTTTTCTCTGTTCCTTGTTAGCCTTTGTTTAGCCTTTGCTTTGCATCTGTTCTCTTTGGTAATGCTTTGCTATTAGATGGATGATGTGTTGTAATGAGTTGGTTTTTTTTTGTAGCAGAATTTTGTTTTCTTGGGTAATGAAATTGATTATCCAAAAAAAAAAAATTATCACTGTATGACTTTTTTTTTGGCACTAAAAATATGGAGGGAAATGTTTATGACAACATATTTAGTCATTATAATTAAAATATATAACTACAAACATTATTTTTCACTAAAAGCTTGAATCTCATTATTTTTTGTTACTACTTTTTTTTGTAACAATCATTATAGCTTATAGTAACAAAACATGTTACTATATGATTTTGTTTTTACACCAAAAATTGGAAATAATCATTTGTGATATATATTTTTATCACTATAATTAAAATATATAATTAAAAATAAAATTTATCACATCATATATAAATCTCATTATTTATTGTGACAATTTTTGTCTGTCATATTTGCTAAAACTTTTAGTTACAAAATTTGTCACTATAAGAGTTTAATTTGGTGCCAAAAAATGGAAGGAAACATTTGCGACAAAATTTGGTAACAAACATTTGTGACAAAAATGAGTAACAAAATTTATTTTTTCATTGTATATTACACATGTTTACTAATTGTGACTAATTATTATGACGATTTTAGTTTTTGTCATAATTGTATATTTTTTTAATTTAATGTGATGATTATTTATTTTGTCACAAAAAAGCTATTAATAGTGACAAAAATATTTTTGACAAAAATAAATTTGTCATAATAGTAGAAATTTCTTGTAATAAACTCACCCCTAAACACTTATTTTAAGACCTAAGTTTATTATTAAATCTTATGAAAGTTATTAGGGGTCAACATACTCTATTTTTATACAAATTGTAAATTCGAATCATCCATAACGATTTCCATGCACATGAGCCCCCACATGCATCACTACTCATATAAGCAAACAAACTCATGCAAATGTCGTACAAGTAGTAGAGAAGAGTGAAGATGTGTTACCTTGGCCTCCAAGCTACCCAAATAACTTTCTAGATCCTCCAAGAACCAGTCTTCTCAAGCTTTTTTTAGGGGGTTCTTGCACTACTCTTCCACCAACTTGTGCAATCTTTTCCAAGAATCTCTCGTCTTTCCTTTGTACCTCTTTTATTCGATCTAGAAACGTCATCTTTATCTTTAATCCAACCAATAGTGAACCTTTTTCTTTAAAAATAGTCGCATATCCATAGCTCGCAAAGCTGCAAAAGTTTTCTGACTAAGTGCATCATCTACAACATTTGCCGTCTATGTCTCAATGATCAAATCATAGTCCTTTAAGAGTTATATCCCTCTTTTTTGTCTCAAGTTTAGCTCTTTTTGATTCAACAGGTACTTTAGACTCTTATGATCCGAGTAGATGTAGCACGGCTCACCATACAAATAATGGCACCAAATCTATAAAGCAGATACTATCACTGCTCATGCGTCTTTAGTTGTCGAGAGGCATAAGATACAACTTTACCTTCTTGCATAAGTACACAACCCAAACCATTATAAGATGCATCACTATACACCACATACTCTTTACCAGATTTTGGTTGTACCAACACTAGTGCTTCCATTAAGATCTTCTTTAGAGCTTTAAAACTCTCTTGACACTTCTCAGTCCAAATAAATGAAACATCATTTCTCAAGAGCTTGGTCAACGGAGAAGTAATCATCGAAAAGTTCTTCACGAACCTTCGATAATAACCAGCAAGTCTCAAGAAACTTCGAACATCTGTAACATTCTTTGGGAGTTTCTACTCCACTATTTCCTGAACCTTCTTAGGATCAACCCTTATGCCTTCTACCGAGACCACATGGCCAAGAAAAGAAACTTCTGACAGCCAAAACTCACACTTTGACAGCTTGGCATATAACTTTTTCTCCTTAAGTATCTCGAGCACAGTACGAAGATGAGCATCATGCTCTATCTTTATCTTCGAGTACACCAGAATGTCATCAATAAATACCACCACAAACTAATCCAAGTAAGGCTGAAATACTCGGTTAACCAAATCCATAAATCTTGCCGGAGCATTTGTCAGACCAAACGACATTAATACAAACTCATAGTGCTCATACCGTGTTCTGGAAGCTGTTTTGGAATATCTTCCTCTTTAATCTTTAACTGGTGATATCCCGATCGAAGACCAATCTTAGAGAAAACTGCTACTCCTTATAGTTGATCAAACAAGTCATCAATCCTCAGAAGAGGATACTTGTTCTTGGTAGTCACTTTGTTTAACTGAAGATAATCTATGCATAATCGCATTGATCCATCTTTCTTTTTCATGAACAACACCGATACACCCCAAGGTGAAATACACAATCTAATGAATCATCGATCTATCAGCTCTTGTAATTGGGCCTTTAATTCCCTTAACTCTTTCGGGGCCATTCGATAAGGAGTCATCGAAATAGGCATAATACTTGGAAACACATTAATACCAAACTCCACCTCTATGTCTGGAGGTAATTTAAGTAACTCATCTGGAAACACCTCTGGATACTCTCCTACAGTTGGAATGTCTTCCAAATTAACTTCGATAGTTCTTGTATCCAACATATTCGCTAAAATTGCTTGACATCCTTGTGACATCAACTTCTTAGCAGTAAAGGATGAAATTACATTGGATAAGGGATTTACCCTTTCTCAAACAAATATTATCTCTGAATCCTTTGCATCCTTTAAAAACAATATCTTCAAACGACAATCTACCCAACCATAGTAGGAAGATAACCAATCCATGCCTAAGATTATTCCGAATTCCTCAAAAGGTAATTCCAATAGGTTTGTAAGAAATTCTACTCCCTGTATCTTTATCAGACACTCCTTACATATCTAGCTTATATTCACACTATGGCCGAACGGATTGATTGCCACAATATCACAAGAAATAGGTTCTAAAAAGACCCCCTATCTCTAACCAACCTTACGCTAATATAAGAGTAAGTATAACCAGGATCTATCAACACAAAAACAGGTTCATCAAAAAGATAAAAGGTACATGTGATAATTTTTGGATTATCTCGATCATCATCAGTCTTGATATGATAAACCCGTGCAGTAGTTCTGCCTTCACGATTAGATGCAACCTCATACGTTCCTGGTTTGCTACCCTTTTTACTTCTACCTCGTTGTGGTGCAGCTACTGACTGATCTGGATAAAGTTCTGGACATTTATTTCTATAATGTCCAGCTTGCTTGCAATGATAGCATTTTCCTTCCATGAACCGACATTAACCGAAATGATTCTTTTCATAGTACTCACATTATGGTTTACGATGAGATCCCGAACCTTTAGTATCTACTGAAGCTGTCTGTGTCTGCTTGGACTTTCCTCCAGAAAAATCCCTTTTTGTAGGAAGATGCTAAGGAGTCATAATTTTTATGCTGCTGACCCTTATTGCGTTTAGAAAATGGTGCAGAGTAGGAGTTTCCAAACCTTTTGTTTGTTTGAGTCTTCCTGAAAAGCAATGAATCAAATCACATTCGATTCAACCTTCCCTAAAGAGCAGCGAAGTGTATCAAAATTTTCTCGAGTCTGATCTCCCCTAAAGAGTATTGAAGCATATTCTTATTCTTTCAAATTTGGTCTTCCTGAAGAGCAGTGAAACAAATCACATTCGATTCAATATTCCCTGAAGAGTTGCGAAGTAAATCAAAATTTTCTCGAGTCTGACCTCCCTTAAAGAGTAGTGGAGCAGATTTTATTATTTATTATTACACATTAGTTATGCTTGTGTTCATATATATATATATATATATATATATATATATATATATATGCGTATGAATATGAATATATATAATAAGTAATTAAGTAATCAAATATATATATATACATTAATTTAAAATGTACTAAATATCATTTTTTTTACAGGCTCACAGTAAATTACAAAGTAACCCAACGAGTGGGTCCAGATTAAGGCCTGAACAATAGCCAAACCCGAACCAAATTGGAAGCCCAGTACTGCAGCCCACTAGGGTTTTCCTACAAGTCTCCAGCGCCGCCAAGTGATCTGAGCCGTCATATCTGGTGCCAATCCAACGGCCCAGGTCGTGAATAATATGTAGGGTTTCCAAACCCTAAAAGAACTCCCAACCGCCGTCACCACTAAGGAATTCCAGTGGTCTCCACCACCGCCGACCGTTCCACGTCGGCCACCTCAGCAAGTGTTCCATGTCAGCAAGAGAGAACCAACTACCACAAGTCATCCTCCTTCGTACGAGAGAATAAAGGAAAATTATTCTGTTACAACATAAATGGTTTTTGGACAACCCGAGATAGAGCAGCATGGGATGAGTGCCTCCAACGGCCTCGCACAATCTCACACGAGAGAAGATAAAATTCACTCTCCATATATAACATACAAACACAAAAAGAAAGGGGTCAGCAACCAAAAAAGGATCCAGAGAGCACAAAAAAAACTCATCTTCTTCCCTCAAGCAAGCAACACAAAAACCAAAAGAAAAGAAAAATCTTTTTCTCTCCAACGATTCAAAAAACCAAAAAGTGCTTCCTTTTTATATGAGTGAGCAGCCAACCGAACCAAAAAAAGACTCAAAAGAAGAAAAAACCTTACCTTTCCGATCGGAAAGCGTCGTCACCGTCCCCTAAGGTCCGAACCCCGTTGAGTCGTCAAAGGTAAGCTTTTCGTGCTCCATAGCCACTGTTGAGTAGCTTTGTGGGTTTGGGAATCCGGTTCGAGAGAGAGCTAGGCTTCGGGTTTAGGTGTTTTTAGGGTGGAGTTTAGGTTGGGGCTCGTTTTTTGGGGTGAGATTTACTCTCACTAGGCTCCTCGTCGAAGCCCTGGGTGGTGGTGGTCTCGGTGGCCGCATGGAGAGAACAGTGTAGGAAAGAAAACGAGGCAGAGGGCTAGGCTTTTTGAAGCATTTCGGTTCCTCGTCGGAGCCCTTGGA